GATGAGGAGGTAGATATGGTTTATATCAACCTAATCTTTGACAGTTAGGTCAAAGGTCTTGACAGATAGGTCAAAGATCATCTTCTGCCAGTTAGCACACATTCACGTGAACAAACCGTGAAACACACTGTGAACCAATTGAAAACCTTGTACGACTCTGTTCTGTGCTTTGACCAATCATAGGGCACAACACAGCCCATCCTAATTGGCACTTAACATGCACGAGTTCATGCAAAATAACGTAATTTACTCTGAGATGTCGACAGAGTAACATTAAAAAAAAAAATTAAAAAAAAAAAAAAATCCATTCGCTTTACACGTTGCATGAAACAAATTTGGTAGAATTTGCATGAATATATGAACAGAACCGTCTACTAAAGAATGAAAGAATGATCGAATAGATATACAAGCGAACTCTTATGCATCTCAATGTCATAACTTGTTCACTCCTTTCAGGCCAAAGCCTTAATTAAAGGCAAAGCGGCGAGTAAGCTATAACTGCGGTTTCGTTTAAGCCACAAAAGTTTAACGCGTACATTTCACAATGCCGCAACTCACAATACTGGATATACTGTTGGGATATATAGTAGGCCTATTTTTAATGTCACTAGACTTAGTTCATATAAGCATAACTTAATTATATGTGAACTTTTGTAGTACAGTACAGACTGCAAACGCACTATAACAAACAATTTGAGCCATGCCTCCAAGAGCAATATGCTTTGCGAAATGTACAATTTTGACTGGCACGCAGCTCGAGTATAGGTTTTCTATCTATACAAATTGTTCTTTGTACTAATAGTAAAGACTAAAGACAAATTCCATTGGGCAGATTAACAGTGGGTTGCGAGCATAATCTGTCAAAATGACTATCTGCATATATTAATGATCTATTACCTATATTTCATGACCATGGAAATTACAAAGCGAATAACTCAGGACAACATATTTAGCATACAAGAAATGTATGCAACAGCCAATCGAATCTTGCTATTTTGCGTTAAGACAGCCAATAAGAAACAGTGATTTTGCGTGTCTTTCGTCGAGTTAATGATATTAATGAGGCTTTGCGTCCCTAGATGCAGGTCAACTAACAAAACCTAACATTAATTGGACCTGCAACATTGTCAATACTTTACTGTTCAAAACATAAGAAAGCAAGCTCATTTGTTAACGAAATTTAAGATTTCAAACTCTGCACATATATATTTATCTACATTTGCGATAAGTCGGCAAGATGGATATCATGAAAGATTGGTACGTCACTAACATTACCATGCATGCCTACGCTCATGAAAATTGAAAATCCGTTGATGTACTATCATTTAACTGCATGATATATTTAATCTACCAAATACATATTTTACAATTTCTGCTAATATCATGGATGCATGATTGGATGTTCGATCACAACACCGGTTATAAGCACCTGAATTGCATTTTTGCCCTGCTATTTCGAATTAAACTAATGAACAAGCTATTTTTCTGAGAGTAATGTCACACAACTCAGGAAAGTTCCACCAATCATAATTGAAATAAAATAAGAGTGGTTAACAAAAAAAAAAAAAATGTGCAAAACGTCTTAATGAACACATTTACATAAAAAAAAAAAAATAAATAAATAAATAAATAAAAGAAATAATTATGTGCCTTGATGGTGAGCTTTGTTTGTCGTGTTACCAACCCTCCAATTAAGAAATTGTAAGATAGAAGCTTTGTGGGGAAGCTGCTGGTTGTCTTGGCCCCATCCAGGTTTCCTGTATATTCCAGGTTTTTTCTGGCCTCCCTGATTATCCAGCTATAGTATGAGTGATGGTAACGCTCAAATATATGTCTAACTGTCATCTGGCAGCAGCTGTCTTGCAACTCTATCTGGGGTATCAGCCACTTTGACAAATGTGGTAACCGCTAAATAACTAACAACGTTTCGGGGGGAGGGTTCGTCTATGGGGAATACACATTCTGTGTATTTGTGGGGATGAAGTCTCCATAAAATGCACAACTTCAGGCCCATAGACTCAATATATGTCACACATAATATATCTAAATTTAAGGACTGTCCATGGGGGTTTACCCCCCATGTTCAGGTTAAGGACTGGCCATATGGGTTTTGTGCCTTTGGTCAGGTTAAGGACTGTCCATAGGGGTTTTGCGCTCCGATTGGTCAGGGTAAGGACTGTCCATACTGGGGTTTCGTGCTCCAGTTGGTCAGGTTAGGACTGTCCAAGTGAATCTTGGTCAGATTATCAGTGCCAGTTCAGAATCAGTGCAGCTAATAGGGTGTGACATATGAGTAGGCATGATGCTTGTCATATACTGTAAATGGACTCTTCACAACCCCGAACCCCTCTCCCACAAAAATAAATAATCGTGTTTAATATTGTGTTTGTCAAGAAAGTGGAGGGAAAAATCAACAACTTGAGTCATTAATTTAAATTTATCGTGAACATCTGATTATTTTACTCTGTCTAAAGGCCCTGTCACACTATTTCGTATCGTACTAGCGTATGCCAGCGTATGAAAAATATCACTCATACGCCGGTATACGCTGACATACGCTAGG